CGTACGATTGTGGGATAGACTTGCTACCCGGCGCTCCCTTGCCCACAAGCCGTCTATACAGTATTTCGAAATCAGAGCGAGAGGTAATGGAGGGCTACATCACCGACTCGCTGGCGGCCGGGATAATCCGGCAGTCCACCTCTCCTCTCGCGGCAGGTTTCTTCTTCGTTGAGAATACAGACAAAACGCTCCGCCCCTGCATTGACTTTTGAGGTCTTAACAAGATAACCATTAAGAACAAATACCCGCTTCCTTTACTCACCTCTGCTTTTGAACTCCTTCAGGGGGCTGCCATCTTTTCTAAACTGGACCTCCGCAGTGCTTATCATCTGGTGAGAATCCGCCAGGGGGATGAGTGGAAGACGGCGTTCAACACGCATCGTGGGCACTTTGAATATTTGGTGATGCCTTTCGGGCTCACGAATGCTCCGGCGGTCTTCCAAGTCATGATAAATGATGTTTTACGGGACTTCATTAATCATTGTGTTTTCGTTTATCTAGACGACATCCTTGTGTTTTCTCGGAACCCAGCTGACCATGTCAAGCACGTGAGAATGGTGTTGCAGCGCGTGTTGGAGAACCGGCTGTTTGTAAAGGCAGAGAAGTGTGAGTTTCACGTGCAGACAGTCTCCTTTTTGGGGTTCATCATCGAGGAGGGATGGCTGCGGGCAGATCCGGCCAAAGTGAGGGCAGTGGTGGAATGGCCTGAACCCAAGAACCGTAAGCAGCTGCAGAAGTTTCTGGGATTTGCCAACTTCTATCGACGGTTTATCCGCAATTTCAGTCAGGTCGCCCTGCCTCTCACCAACCTAACCTCTCCTAAGCAGCCATTCCAGTGGTCTCCCGGCGCTGAACGGGCTTTTGTGAGACTCAAGCACCTCTTTTCCTCAGCTCCGGTGTTGGTACAGGCAGACATCAGTCAACCTTTTTTTGTGGAGGTGGATGCTTCAGACGCAGGTGTGGGGGCAATACTATCCCAACGAGTGAATGCAAAATTACACCCATGTGCCTTTTTCTCACGTCGCTTATCTCCTGCAGAGTGCAATTACGACGTTGGAGACCGGGAGCTCCTCGCCATTAAGTTGGCGCTTGAAGAGTGGTGACATTGGCTCGAAGGCAGCGAGCATCCGGTGGTTATCTGGACAGACCACAAGAACTTGACCTACCTCCAAGCGGCCAAAAGACTGAATGCCCGGCAGGCCAGGTGGGCTCTGTTTTTCACTCGGTTTAACTTGACCATCTCTTACAGACCTGGCTCCCGCAATCTTAAAGCAGATGTTTTATCGCGCCAATTTTCCCCGGATCTCGACCCAGACGAGAAGGAGAGACCCATTCTGCCATCCTCGTGCTTCGTGGGGGCTCTGACCTGGGACATAGAGCGGGTTATTAAGGCTGCCCAGCGGTCGGAACCTGATCCGGGCACTGGGCCCGATGGGAGGATGTTTGTTCCCGCGGCGGTCCGAAGTAAGGTCCTTCACTGGGTCCATACGGCCAAGTTTGCCTGCCACCCGGGTAAAAACCGCACTATCGCCTTTCTGCAACGTTTGTTTTGGTGGCCGACTCTAGGGAAGGACGCTCGGGAGTATGTGGCCGCTTGCCCCGTTTGTGCCCGAAACAAGGTCTCCTGTTCACCCCCTGCTGGCCTCCTTCGTCCGTTGCCTGTGCCCAGCCGCCCGTGGTCTCATATTGCACTGGACTTTGTTACCGGTCTTCCCCCCTCCTCGGGTCACACAGTCATCTTGACCGTGATCGATCGCTTCTCAAAGGCTGTTCATTTCGTTGCTCTGCCGAAACTCCCTTCGGCCCTGGATACTGCCAAGATTCTCACGCAGCAGGTGTTCCGTCTCCATGGGGTTCCCCAAGATATCGTGTCCGATCGGGGTCCCCAATTCACGTCGCGAGTGTGGAAGGAGTTTTGTAAGGAACTGGGGGCCCAGGCCAGCTTGTCGTCCGGCTTCCACCCTCAAACCAACGGGCAAGCGGAACGGGCTAATCAAGAGCTCGAAGCGATGCTGCATTGTGTGGTCTCTTCGAACCAGTCATCATGGAGCGATCAACTGGCGTGGGTCGAATATGCCCATAATGCTAGCACGTCGGTGGCTACTGGGGTTTCCCCGTTTGAGGCCTCCCTGGGGTATCAGCCCCCGCTTCTCTCTGTGTCGGAGGGGGAATTGTCGGTTCTTCAGTCCAGCACCACCTGCGGCGCTGCCAGCGGGCATGGCGCGCCACCCGGACCGCCCTCTTGAGGACCGCTGAGCAGAACAAGAGACTTGCGGATCGCCGCCGTGCTCCGGCCCCTGCATACCAGGTCAGGCAACAGGTATGGCTGTCTGCGAAATATGTTCCTCTGAGGGTCGAGTCTAGGAAACTGGCTCCACGCTTTATCGGGCCCTTCCCCATCCTGGCCGTGTTGAATCCTGTGACTGTACGTTTGTCTCTTCCCCGTTCCATGAGAATTCACAATGTCTTTCATGTGTCCCAGGTGAGGCCTGTCCGGACCAGCCCTTTGTGCCCGCCCTCCGGGCCCCCGCCACCCGCCCGGATTATCGACGGCTCGCCGGCGTATTCCGTATCACGGATATTGGATGCCCGGCGCCGCGGTAGGGGCTTTCAGTTTTTGGTGGACTGGGAGGGGTACGGTCTGGAAGAGCGTTCTTGGGTGCCGCGGTCCGCGGTTCTCGATGCTGCCATGGTGAGAGACTTCCGCCGCAGGCACCCTGATAAGTTTGCTGGGTCGCCGGGAGGCTCCCATTGGAGGGGGGGTACTGTCAGGTTCGACGGTGCCCCGACCGGCGACCTGTGTGTGTGTGTGTTTGTTCTCCCGCTCTGTTTTTGTCTCCGTTGTAGTTGTTACGCGGTTGCGTAGCAACGGGAGATGTCCGACCCGGAAGTTCCGCCACTCTGAGTGGTCCCACCTGCAACTGATTCCTCGCCAGCTGCTGCCAATCATCCACCATTGTGACAGAACTATTTAATGGTGTGGCTGAGTGACAGACAGCACTGGAGTATTCCACCAAGCCGGGTAGTGACTCGAATTCAGCGAGTGTTAGACAAACGTTTGATAGCGGAGGGAGGCTAACCGCATCTGTTTGCCTTTTTTCCAGGCTACGAGTGAGACGGAGATACGAGAGGAGAGACGTCACTTAGCACTATGGATTACTTTGGATTTGCTTCACTGTAAATAAAGACACTGTTCAATCTTAACGAGCGATCCGCGTCTGGGTTCTCTTACTCATCACCCCCGTAACAGTATTTTTCCAGTTAGTCCTCATGTTTCATCTTCTGTGGTGTCATGCCTCCTGCTTTTTCTTGTTCTTGCAGTTATGCACCATGGTTCCATACTTTCCGTGTAGATGCCCGAGCCACATCAGCAGGCTCCAATCTGTGTTAAAAAGCAGAAAATCCATTTCCTCACCCATGTCTCTGAGTCCTGTATGATACAGTAGGAAACAAATTTTAATGCCTCCTTTATCCTCGGTCTGATTCTTTCAAACAGTACATAAAGCTTGCAAAGACGAGAATGCAAACATACCGTTCACTTTGAGGCTCAGCTAATTCTTCAAAGCAGCATACTGGTAAAGCATTAACATTACTTCACTTGGGACAGCAAATTAAATATATCAACAAGAAGCACAAATACCACCTTTTAAGGTATCTTGTGGGCATATTTCTTGCTATAAAAATACCCAAGCATGAGGTCATTTTACACATATTACAATACTATATTATTCTTAAGATTCCAATGCAGCAGTTGAGGTTTAAACTACCTACATTTCTAAACTGGATTGAGCCATGAAGAAGTAAAACAGTGAGGTCATGACCAGGTTAGGCTTTGTTCCACTAGCTTAAATGCAAGCTCTTGTGGGAATTTCAATGGTCTTTGTGAAAAAGAATAAGCATTCTATTGAGTGTTACTTTGTACTGCTGCTCAGACACATTTTATAACAAAATTAAACCTGGATTCTTGTTTGATAATAATCCAAGAAAAATAGTTTAATTTCATATCATGATCTCTTCTAATGTCAGTTCTCTGAGGACCTTTCAGAGTAAATAAAATAAGATTATTATTCAGTGACAATAATTTATGTTTGGAAGTGGGACTCTGTTCTGAGACCTTCCTGGCCTGCCACTCACAAATGTGCAAAGTCAAAAGGCAGCGAGAGCAGCTGCAGATTTGTCTTATCAGTAACAATGACATGACTTTAATTAAGTGAGAAAGAACATGAATAGCATGATATGGAAGAAATGAGGGTGGAGGTGGCTTTGTGAAGGAGCATGAGCCTGCATACAGTGACAGCTCCCACTGTATGCAGGCTGAAGCAGGTTGTGAGATTTGTGAGATTTGCCAATAGGATGTTCATCTGAGTATCCGCAGAGCAATCAGCTGATGATTTTGAAAACAACTGATCTGCCAAGATTGCTGGCTAAGCTTCAGGCTACGGCCTGCCAGAAACAATGCTATGCAGAGATTTTTCAACATTTTCAGCAGCTCGCACAGTGTTTTTCTCCTCTGTGATTTTGTTAATTCCAAATTTTGTGCACCCAAACTCATTCATGGATTCACCTCATTGGTCAAGCGCTGACAGTTAAGATCAAGAGTGATTTTAAATGAAAGTTGCTTAAAAACATCAGTATTTGAAAAAGTACCATTTCTGAGTGATTTTGAAACACGTTTTTAAGTGGCATGTTCTCAATAAATGGTCTCTACTGAATTTTAATTTTAAGTCTGTGAATATCAGTCAGGTGTAAATAAAGCTTAACTTCGGGGAAAACCTGAAAAATGCAGTTTTAAATAATTGAAGAAAGATATTTATCAGTCAAGTAGCAGAAGATGTAATGTTGACACCACACAGCACTAAAATGCATCACTGTTGATACAATGCAGTGAAATTGCCTTTTGGAAGATATCATCCGGAACACTGAGACTAAAGCACCATTGTTCATCCAGGTAAAGCTATTTTCACAGATTCAACAAATATGTACTCTCTGCCCTTCTGCAGATTACGGTTGGCCCCTGCCCTCTGATCTTTGCCCCATCTGGATCTATCTGGACGTCCTGTTCTCCACAGCATCCATCATGCACCTTTGTGCCATTTCTCTGGATAGATACATTGCCATACGCAACCCAATCCACCACAGCCGCTTCAATTCTCACACCAAGGCCCGCATCAAGATCATGGCAGTGTGGACCATTTCAGTGGGTAAGTACACACATGCAGACCTAAACACCAACTATCTACGGTCTATATATCTGTCAGTAAATTGTGGGATACTGAAGTCTTCACAGGCCAAAAATGCTGCATTAGATTGAATTTGAGATGCCTTCAACACTAACAGAGAGAAAACACCAACTGGTAGCAGCATGCAGTATGTCAGTGAACAGAGCAACAAGGATATGATGGGATGACAGTGTGGGACATTTTGAGTCTTGGCAGAAGAAGCTACGACAAGCAATGAGAATGGACAAGAAATGTTGGAAGTGCAGGTGGATCAAGAATGGATATTGCACTTCACATTGATTTAAAACAGGGAGAATACAACTTTGAAATCTAACCAAAAAATAAAATGGTTCAGAAAAGTGTTATGAATCAAATAATACCACAAAAAATCAAAGCACATTCTTCTGAAACACTGCTTGAAAAGCCTTTAATTTCCTCCAGTATTGATTATTCCCCGGTGAATAAAAAGCCTTCATGTCATAATGCTTACATTATGATTTTATGGCTCTCATTTTCAAGCAAGTCAACAAAACCCGGAGGTGTCCATAGTTTATTTTTTTAGGTTTCTTATAGAAAAACTTGTCTTGTACTGTAGGTATTAAGCATCAGACAGAGAAATGCAAAATCTGTAAAAAATGGCAGCACGGCATAAAATTCAAAACAAAAGACATGTCATGTGAAAAGATCTTGGATCACGTTTGTTTATGTGTACTTAAGACCTGAAAAGATGTTAAGCGGATCTTTAAGGTCGTGATGCTCAAATTTTCTCATTTACAGAGAGGCGACCCTTCTTACTCATGGTCCTAAGTATGTGATAGATGTTAACTGATACACCAGTTAACAATCCATAAGTAACTCAAAGAGCAAACCTTGTGGGACACAACAATTAGTGAAACACAGATTATTTAAAGATTGCCAATTTGTAAATTTAAGCTGCCAAACATCATCCTGGGTAATGCTAGCTTGCCAGGTACAATAAGGCCTCAGTCACACAGGCCTATGTGACCCCCTGACAGCCTCCAGTTGCTAGAGAAAAATGTGTATTCCCTGCTGGGTGCTCCTGGCTCTTGCTAAGTTTAAAGAAAAGCAGAAAGCACCCAACATCCCTTTATGGTTGCTTTGGTTGCTGGCACATTGCAGTTTTCACTCTCAGTTTGCATGAAAGATGCACTTGCCAATCATTCTTTGAGTTGTAGTGAAACTTAAAAAAAAATCTGTGATGCAATAAAGAAAGAGAGACTGTTTACAAGTAAACATTTTGTCTGCAATTAACTCATTTGCAAAGGAACATCTTTTACTTTGAAGGCATATGGTTTCTGATTTACATCACACATTTCACAGTTTCAGTACAGCTCTTGGGTAGTTTGTTAGTGTTTGCAGGGAAACACAAAAACTACTGGCAACCACGGCAACCTGCTACAGACCAAATTGATTGCAAAGAGGTTGTCAATGCAACACTGTGTATTTCTTTGTAACCAGTTTCTCATTAGGGACTGACAGCAACTACTTGCATTGTAGAATTTACACTTTTCCTTTCCAACTGGTAGTTGGCCTCTTTATATGACTGGGGTCTAACCATGTATATAGCCATCTACTAGGTCATCAAGGTGTGGTCCTTACCAGTATCTACAGAGGATTCAGGCCCGGCTCCTGTCAGAGCGAGAGAGGGTTTTTGAAACCTCTGCTTTGTGCTTGATTTCAAAGGCAATTAATTGAACATTTAAGTTCACTTTGTATCTTATTCTGTTTTCATAGACTGTGGGCTAGCAGTCTTGTGTGGCTTGCCTAAAGCAGCATTCATACAAGGAGTCACTTTTATTGACTTCATTAAAGTATAGAAAAGGTGAAATGAGGATAATGTGCTTCTTGAGGCTAAGAGCCATTTCCCCCAAAGTTTCCCAGCCACACTGTCGAAACAGTAATGGGAATAAGTCAGTACACTGAGGTTTTAAAACAGTGGAACTACACCAAACCTAAATCACTCGCAGAAGCCTTGGTCTACATATTTTACATCTATTATTTCAGTTCAGGATTCTTTTACTTTATTGTTTATGCTGCTGAAATTAAAAGAAGTCTCTGTAAAAATGTAGCCATGTACATGTAAAATGTTGCCTCTCTTAATTCTAAGATGTTATGTGCAAGAGCATCATAAAAATGACCGTATATTTAGCAGGTCTTAAAACTACTTACATAAAAATGAACAGCAAAGCAAGAAGGTCTTTTTTTATTGACCAAAAATGAAGTCAAAATGCAGAAGCAATGTTTGAAAAACGAATTCCATCCTTACTACTTCCACAGGAAATAACAAGGTAAGTAGCAGCCATGTCCTGCTAATCAAATTACTGGATTAACTGATCATCAGCAAATATGAGCACATCTATAAAAATATAGTTTTCGCTGTTAAAACAATGTCAAAGAGGAAATACATCACCAACCTTAGAGAAGCAACTGTTGCTGCCCATAAGTCTAGAAAATATGTGATTTCTTTATCATGTGACTATACTATATATTAACAACACTGTCTTCACCAGATTTACATAAAAAATTAAATATTCACTCAAATATTTGCTAATTTTTCAATAATTTACTGTTGAACTCATCATGTAAACTAAACTTAGAGGACAATTTGGTGTTTGATTTGACACAAGGGTTGAGGCAGTACATCAGTGCTGTATTTTATTTGACATGTGCTCTTTGTAAATATCGGATCTCTAATAAAGGCCAGGATTCTTTTGCTATGATTTACTTGGATAAAACAGCAGAAATTAAAGTTCTCTGAGTTCATAAACAGTTAAACCGAAGTTACCTAAGAGAGAATATAGTGACGAGGAATAAAAAGAGTACAATCCTATTCATCAAAAGCATTGCAGCCAGCTCCTCATAAGATGCAATTTTCCACAAGACGTTTATGGCTTCATATAATTTTTTGGAAAGGACGGGGAACAATCAAGTCTTGATAATTGGTTTCTGCTAGTCTGGCTGGTCTCCAGCTGTTCAGTTCAATGGACATAGATGAGCAGGAAATGTAATGATGGGACCGTAGTCAAAGACCTGCAACCATAGTGGTGGTTGGATGGGAGTGCATATTAGCTTTAATTATTTACTAAGAAAAACAAGAAACATAAAGATGAAATCAAAGATCTCAGCTTCACGTGATTGCATGTAACTGGCAGTGTGCAAAAATATCATCAGATGTTGGTGAAGTTTGCACTTTTTCTGCTTCAGTTTTTCTGTCCCTCACAGCAAAATCTCCAGTGTTAATTTAACACTGGAGAGTGTCTATATGGGTCCACACCTCTGAGTGTTAAATACAACACTGTTGAGTGTTAAATTAACACTTTTGACAGTGTTATATGTTTAAAAGTAACCTAGTCAGTTTTGAAGATTAACAGTGAGCAGTGCTGATTTTCTAACACTGGAAAATAACTCAAAATGTTAGAAATATTCCAGGGTTAGAAAATCAGCACTGCTCAGTGCCAGTCCTACTGATTGCCAATACTTTGGGGTGATCAGAACAAGAAGAACCAGAAGATCCCAAAGAGTTAGTGACGTTTTCACAGAGTTACTTACAGAAACCTTTTGCAACGTTTGCATCTCATTGACCTTGTTTACTAAATGAACTCAATTATAATAAATTCATTATGTTGGCTGCAGCCAAATTAATCCGTGAGTGAGTTTGGACCTTTAGGGAGGGTAAGAACTGCAACACCGAAACAAACCAGTGAAAAAAGTTTTCCCTGAAAGAAATTCTGATTGTGAATGTAATAATGATTAAGTCTAAAAATCAAGATTAGAAATCAGCATGGTGCTTGGTTAAAAGAAAATAATGTCCGACCTGTGTTACCCTCTTGTGCTTCTATGTTAGTTATGAAAATGGAAATTACTCACACATTATGTTCTTTAAATACAGGGACGATTTAGACAATATAATATTAATATTTCATCAACTGGAGAAACTGTCAGGTTAGCTCTGACCATTTTCTGACCTTGTAGCTGTGACAGATGCAGCAAAAATCACTGGTAAGATCTTTTTTCCTCAAAATACTACTGTCAGTAAACACAACATCCACAAAGAAATGTGACATACAAACACATCAGTCCAATCTTCAACACACAGTTAAACAAAAAAAGGTAAGAGGAAAGATCTCGATGAGCTTTAATGAAGCATCTCAGCCTCAAATAAGCACAATACAAGCATCAGCGTGAAAGACATTAGACTTTCTAATGGTAGAGGTAAAGGTAAATGGCCTGCATTTGTATAGCGCTTTTCTAGTCCATAGGACCCCAAAGCGCTTCACACTACATTCAGTCATTCACCCATTCACACACACATTCACACACTGGCGATAGCAAGCTACATTGTAGCCACAGCTGCCCTGGGGCGCACTGACAGAGGCGAGGCTGCCGGACACAGGCGCCACCGGGCCCTCTGACCACCACCAGTAGGCAAACATGGGGTTAGTATCTTGCCCAAGGATATTTGGCATGCAGCCAGGATGCAGCCTGGGATCGAACCACCGACCTTCTGATTAGTGGCTGACCTGCTCTGCCACCTGAGCTACAGCCACATAAAGGGCACTGGAGGAAACCGCACTACGAATGCATTAATGGTTTTGGTTATTATCCCGCTTTTTATACAAAAAGCATGGTGTACTGCTTTTAAAGAATGACAAAAAGACCATTTTTATCTTCGTCTAATTTATTTCAGTGATCTCAGGGTCTAGTTGCATCTATACCACAGTCTGTATATAAAGAAAAAACTTTTCATCACAACAAGAACTTGAAATATATTACATATATTGCAGTCGTAGCCGGGAGATACAGATGTGTTATTAAGGTCCCACCTAATTAACAGTGTAAAAAGTGTTGTTTTTAGCACATGCTGTAACTCTGTGGAATTCCAGCTCCAAGTGTCAGGAAGAGTCAGTGAAAAAACTGCATTCTGTATAATATGTTTTAACCATTGCTTTAATGCCAGCAGC